TGACTTAAGGGAGACTGACGTTACTTTTTTTCTTTTGCTTTTCACTTTTTTGTTTGTTGGATAATTCGATTGTTTTGATTTTATATATCTTACTGATATATATAGGTTCAATTATTATTCCTTTGTTCAATTATTCCTTTGCTTCTCTTTATACTTCCCATATGTTTAATTTTTAAAATTAGTATATAATATTGGGATATGTTTGACTAAAAATTACGCAAAGAAAATAAATTCATACTGACACCTTTTGAGTTCGCTGCACAGGTTTAGTGCATAGTACTATTTCAGTATATGTCTCAACTCCGGTGATCATGTTCACTACTTAATATGTTGAAATTTGTCTAATATGTTTCTCCGAATATACTGAATTGCACTTCGAGTAATATAAAATACACTCTTATAAGTCAGTTAAATATACTTACTGACCTGCATATATTGCTTTATAGTTTTGGACATATTCAGTGTGCTCATATAACTATCAATATTTCCACTCGGAGACAACTATTGCTCATTGTGATGCCATCAAAGTTATCTGACAGCATTGAATTTATAATAACAACTTCATAAATGTACAAAATTGTACATTGAGATGAATTCTATATCTTGCATGTAGGCACTGACGAATAAGTTGTTCACATCATTATATTTTAAAAGTATCTACATACCCGTATTGTGATTTTTATGTTCAGGGAAAATGTTCTGTTTTAATTTTATTTAACTAAATATCTAACAACTTTTTTGGAAAGTAAATAAATTGATTTTCTTGTTTTTCACATCAAGAACATAAACATGTGGTTAAAAGTTCTGGTGCAGCAACAACCGTACAACCATTTATCATGTCTAAAACAATAAAAATATTTCGAGGACTTGTTTTCATAACCGAAAATAAAATAAAAATATTTTGCTAAACAACTTTAAAGTTGTACAAAAATTTCCTATCAGATGGCATTTTAGTGGTGCGCAATACAGTCTTCACTAACAAATTCAACAAATTCAGATACGCACGTATAGAAATATCTATCAGATGCAGCATACAGAGCATACAGAGCACACAGAGTAGGCGGACGGACAGGCAAACCAACAGACAAACCGACAGTCTTGCAGTATTGATGTGATACCAGTACCACAAAAATAAGCATTTGAAGTTGTAAAAGTAAAATGTTAAAAATCGTAGTAAAAATATCTTTGAATTTAAATACGAGTACGTTCATGTAGGAATTATCAAATATTGGTCGGAAAGTGTGCGCAATTCCTCAGTAAATAACACAAAAAAGACCAGAAAAAGAAGTTGAATTACTTTATCTCCTGACTGCAATTTCGATTAACACTATGAATGGCTTTTATATTCTAAAAATTCAAATTCTTGTAGTCTCTGGCACAGTTCGGTTTTATGGCAAGAAAAACAACTAAAGTTTTTGGGTAAGGATAATAATATTTCACTTAGGAATATGGTTTTCGTTTCAATTTATTCATTTGTAATCGAGTATCCTTGATTTGCTTTTGGTTGGAACCGCAATCGTATAAAGAAATTTTGTCTGCTTTTAAACAATTATTTTTAATAATCAACCAAGCAAATGTTGTTTCAAGTGCTTGGATAAAAGAAAATGGTAAAGCAAAAATAGTCAAGAGTAAGTATTCTGGAATAAAGATACTTTGCTGATGACTAAGTTTTCACGAAATTTAGTCATTTAAAATATTCAAAAAAAAATATTGAAGTATAAACAAAATGAATTCAGAAGAAATAATTGTTTTGTTTTTATTTTATAACAAAATAATTATATATTCTTTAGTTTTAAATAACGGCAATTAATTTCAATAGCTTAATGAGGACGAAAATATGATAGCTTCAATTCTGTAATTTTGTTTTAAAACCAATTTAACTATTTAAATATTTGTTTGACATATTGTATGATTTGTTTATTTATACATCCAAATTTAATAATATTTATTTGTATATTTATTTTTTTATTTGTGAGTTAACATTTGAATGCTAGTTCCTGAACTTAATAATCCTTTAAATATTAATACTGATTCACGATGACAACCACCGATAACATAAATATATTCAAATAGTATTTCAACCAGTGTTGATTACAAAATACCCAGTTCTCCAATTGTTTAAAATACAAGAAGGTTCTGGAGCTGTGTGTATACCATTTCACTTAAACAATCAAAGTGTAAGAAGACTATCGAGATTTCAAAACGAACAAGCAATATAGTATAGTCATATTGTTGAATACCAACATTACAATTCAATGAAGCTAACGGCAAGTGGATGTACCTCTATACATAAGATATATAACTAACTAATACTGATGCGATTTACTTGAATCAAATTAACGATAGACCAAATTTTCATACCTTAGCGAATATTGAAAAATTAACGGGAATTCAATATTCTGCTGTATCACCTATTTCTAGACTTTACGGCAGCTAGATACCGTGTAGCCGCAAAAGAATTAAAAGAAGCCATGATAAAATTTAATATTCCTTATAAACTGAGATAGTTAAATGAAACATCATATCAAGAAAACACTGCTAAATTGCTGTTCAATTCAAACAACATCTTTACTGTTGTTGGTTGTAATAGATAGATTAGCTTCTCTTCAATCTGACAGCAATATACGTGTCTCTGGTGTTTTCACAAGAGGGACCATATATAGTTACTAACGACGGTCGGATATCGATATATGTAGACGATATAGTCTTATTGTATTAACCTTAATCCCTGTTGTTAAAGAAAGTTAGTTGCTCAATGATAGACTGAAATTATGACAATGTCTTGTATGTGGATTAGTATCTGTCTGGAGTAAGTAACAATAGTCTCTCTTGTTAAATCTCCAGACAGATAATAAGTTTCTCAATGACAGTTTAAAGAACATCAGCTGAAATTTTGGCAAATTTGGTAGTTATATATACATATAACTTTTTAAAATCTTTGACTCGTAAAAAAAAATACTTCTCTTTCAACCTCCATCAGTATTAGCAGATATGCGGACATAATAATAAGTGACAAATTTTCAGCACTGTTGAGTACATTCGATTGCCAAGTTCACGCATATAATTGAGCGAAAAAACTCTGATAACCTACATTTCTCGACTTCTATTATAAATTATTTTGCGGTTATTGTGATATACAAAACCTTCGAATTATTTAGAAAAACTTAATCCAGAATTGTAGCTGTCCCCAATTTATTTACAATAGTTTCAATTATTCAGTCAAAAACGGTTCATTCTTCTATACTCTCTAATGTTATTATTATTCTGTTGAGGCTAGTTAAGTCAGTGCACTTGAGCACTTTTACTCTCTATTAACATAACAGCGAGGTTTCTTCATAACCCTTCTCTAGGCCTTGACTGGATTACTGTTTATCACTTTATCAGACTAAACAATAATTGATAAGAATATATATTATATTTGAATATTCAATTATCTAAATAATCGGATTAGTTTAAATTATCCGACCTATCCGGATATCCATATAGTCTATTTTGTTTTAATTATTTCATGTTCGATCCAATTACGTTAAAAATGTTAATTTTATTATACTATTTTTTTGTAAATTCTTTTGATTTTTGTGCTATGAAAAGAATTAATGATTAATATTATTAATATTTTACACATACATGAATAATATCTTATGTATTTGACCTAATACTCAATATGGATATGAATGCCAAAACCAAAGTATTTCTCGAAAATATTTTAAACGTTTCTATTAAGTAAAAGATAGTAAAAGATAGTCTAGTAAAAGTCGATTTTTGCTTATGAAAGTTTTACTCAACGTTTGTGCAACTTCAAATAACAAAATTAATTAAAGAGAATACTAATTAAATACTTAATTATTACTCAAGTCATTGCTAGAGAATAACTAATAGAGTCACTTAAACAAGTAGTTGACTCACTCAGCTTATGCAACTAAATTTGATGACAATTAGAAAGGACAGTCAGGACTTTCGGACTTAACAATTTCACTTCACCGGCAGCACTCGTTCATCAGTAGTATACAGTACAGAAGTATACGTGTATAATAGATATATAATAAATAGGTGAAAAAGAAGTTGTTAGTGATTTAACTCAACATTCATAGTATGACAAGGACACAGCAGTGCTAAAGAGAAATACCAACTATAAGAAAAAAATATTTCATTGAATTTTTTAAACTGAATTGAGTTGGCATTTCAGAACTCTGATTGAATGTTAGTCACAATCTTATACAAGTTTTTGCAAAATTCTAGGAATTTCATGTATTTCACTTCACAGTATCTATTGCTTGTTTCATTTAAATGCTAATATATTTAACTATTTATATACAATAACAAAAGATGTACATCATATGAGGTATAACGTGATGAACGAGTATGTATTCTGTATATAAATGCTTGGCTATCGTGTGCAGGACACAGCTCTGTATATCTTCAGATCCTTCTGCATGTTTTCAGTTGTCAACGTGTTTCCCCCATATTAATATATGGTTTATTCGTTTTAAAAATGTGATTTTCTTGATTAAATAATTTATATTTTTGGTTTCGTTTTGCTTTGTTTCATTGCCATAGAAATGCAGTAAGACCATTTTTTATTTATTTATTTTTCTTTTTTTTTTTTATAAAAAATTTAATTAGAAATAGTAAAAAGGATTTCTCTCTGATAATGGATGGAGCTAGACGACACAATTGCTGCTGTCATTTTTTGAAGTTTGTGTTGCAAATAAGTTTGTGGTTCTCATATAAAATTTTTCCCAAGGCAGTGGTTAATTTAATTTCAGTATTGCCACTAGAAACCGAATTTATTTGTGTTGCCATTTGTGCTTTCAATTTTCTCAATTTGCAGTATTCCTTCCTGGCGTTGCGTTATGTGTGATGTTCGTCAGAGCTATTGGCCATGGTAGACACATATAAAGCAAGGAAGTCGAATAAAGTTACTGATGTTGTTTTAAAATTGTTTGTTCTACTACAATTTTATATAAAAATTCACCATCTCTGTTTTTATCTACTTGCAGTTATAAACAATTCTAATCATAACCAAGCAACGCTCTTCAAAATGACGAGGAAGCCAAATTTACTACACGAGTGGTTCAATCTGTTGGCACTGATTTGGATGATTCTATCTGACATTTGTCTGAATGGTAAGTCTTAATTCAATTTGTTTCATTTTGACACAAGAGCGTCATAAATTTATAAAACTTTAATCAATTAGTGAAATATATTTTGACAAATTTTCATATATGTTCTCATAAATTTTAAAATTCATTTATTATTTCAAAAAAGAACGCACCACAAAGTCAAAGAACATAAAAATATTGTGCAATTAAAACTGTCACATGTGTTGTATGAAAATTCTCACATACCAGTACGTCCATATATATAGTATGTATATATGCACGAAATTTAAATAGTTAATTTCATTTAAGTTCAGTGGAAATAAAAATGATTGGTTCTATTAAGAAAAAAAGTAATACGAGTATGAGCATTTTTCCTCTTAATTTATGCCAATATGCAAATGAATGTTTTACTGTTAATATAAAGGCAAAGGCAAAGGCACGTTGGGCATCATTATGTATTTATGCATTTACCTCCATAGTGAGATCATTTACTCACAACGCCGATGCGACGAGGTATCCCAGCATATCGTTAAAGGAAGACCTAAATATTGGTATCACTGCGCGCTGGTACCGGGAAGCGTTCACCGCATAAATGTTTAACAATAGGTTGTGTTTTCAATTAAAAAAGTTGATTAAAAGTGAAAAAATGAAATAAAATAAATTTCATTATATGGAGACAATTGCACTTGTGCAGTATCTCTCTTCCGTGCGTTATGTGCTCGAAGGCTTGCAGGATATTACGACAGGCTCGCGGAATACAGGGTTTCGCGTAGGTGCTCAACTGTCATAAATTAAAACGCAATACACGTTATATACATTCTTTTTCGCTTTAATGTCGAGTAATTAAGTTTTTGATGATTTTCATTTTTATTTTTATTTTTATTTTCGTTTTTATTTTTATTTTTATTTTATCCAGAATGTTTTATTGCACATTAAATAAAATTCACTTTATAAACAATTTCAATACTGAATTACGATTCTGCCATGAAGCTGTGAAGTTGTGAAGCTGTGAACGAGCGAATATGCAGCTGCAGAACACATGGGACTTCATCTGCAAATATCAATACGGAATTCTCGGTATAAAAAAGTTCCCTGTTTAAATGCATCGCTTAATATAAAATTAAATCAAATAAAATTAAATAAAATTAAACGTTTATGTTGTGCCACTTAAATAGTTTTATTTTTTATTGCTTAATTAACTTAATTTAATAATACGCAATCTTTTTTTTTTTTGGAAATATTTCATTTTTAATTAAATCATATCTATTGAATTGAAAGCCTTAAACGATCACAAGTAAATTTATGATTTCATTTTAACGCAATTTAAAATTATTGTTTTAATTATATTTCTTTGCTAATTATTTGTTCTTGTAATTGATGTTCTAAATTATTATATTTAATAATTTTTTTGATTTTTTTTATATATACACTAAAAACCGCGTAATCGTTATTAACTTCATGTGCATGATATGATATCATTATGCAAAATGTTGACAACCCTATGAAGAAGAATAAGAGATGACATTACTTGCAACGATATCTGAATTTGAATTTAATTAAATATATTGTGAAAACACAAAAATAATATATAAATAATGACACATTATTTGACAGTAAAAGATCTTGTGTGTTAAAGACCAAAACAACTTTACAAAGTTTTTTTTACTTATTTGAAAGTATTGGATTACATATTTACAAAATAACATAAATGGGAAGTTTCACTTTATTGGTACAGTAGAAGAAAAGCGCTTCCATAAACTATTTTTTGGTCGACGCTGTTTATGCGGAATATGCTCCAGCGATTAGAGTATACCAGGCGTGGTTTACGTGGTTTAAAGTTTTGATATTGACGTACAAATCAAGGCGTTTTTTGAACAGCCGAAAAAGATCGATAAGAGAGCTCTCAGCTTGAATGGAAGTCAAGCAATATAAGCTATAATATAATATAAGCTATAATTTAAATCAAGCTACCTTTTTAATCAGACCCTTTTTCCCTGGAAATTATTTTGAAGTAAGAGAATTATACTGCCGATCCAGTATAAATAGGCAACGTTTCTCTGAAGGACATAATTGCATTTTTAACTGCTTAAAGGATGTAGTAACGTGGTAACAAGTTTCCAACAAAAGAGTTTTAATAAAAAGATTATCTAATCAAAGCTAAGGAAATTGGGTACCGTACGAACTGAAGCCAATAAATGTTGGAAGACAATTATTCGTTTGTGAGCTACTACTTAAGCGACTAAAAACATGGGTTTTCCTGTATTATATGTAACTATATAATACATAAAAAGTGAATTTATGACGATAATACCTAAGAAAAAGAGATCGTATGAAAATCTGGAGCGTATGTGCATCAACACCACTACCAAAACTGAATATTCCTAGTTTTAAACTTATGCTATCTGTAGTATTCAATGGGACCCAAAAAGTGTTATTTACTATAAACAATTAAAAACGAATGAAACCATCACTGGTTATATGTGCAAAACACAATTTATAGGTTTGAGTCATACATTATAGCAGAAACGTTCGATTATCTTAAAAATAAAATGATCATCAACACATGGCAGGGATTAAAAATTGGTCGATTCGATGAAAAATTCTTTCTACACATAATCCAAATCTTCTATTTAAATATTTTGCTCAGTTTTTAGTATACTGCAGATAATTTCATTTTATTTCACAAATTTGAACTAAACTATATTATAATATAGTATGGAAGAACTATAAGCTTTCATTCTCTCTTTATATCAATGTTAGTGTTTTTGTTTTACAGTATGATACTTTATTTTAAAACGATTTATTTAGTGTGATGTTGTGCGTATATAGATATTTGATTAAATTTATCATTAATATTATTATCCTCTTTTTATATCTAAAATACTGTGCTACATAAAAACCTAAGACTGTTAAAAGCAATTTTGAAATTCATAGCCACATAAGGTTAGTTCTGTATTATACTGCTCGAAAGTAATTCTAACAATATTAACCAGATCCACCCATGGTTTATCATTGCGGGATTTAAGCGGATTTATTTTTTAATGCCTTTTCCATAATGAGTTTCAGTAAATATGTTTTAAATGCTTAGTTAGTTATAAACCGAAGGCAAATTACACTAAAATTTTTTTATATATCTTGTAAATTTCTACAAATTTTATGTCAGTACATTTTTAGATTATTAAATATCTACTAAAATACAATAAGGAATATGTTATTATTATGTTATCAATATCCGTCTTCTTCTTCAATATATGTTATTGCATGTATTACCACTGCTATCGTTAGTGGTTTTATAATTATGTACTATAACTAAAAGCGTTTTCGATTGGTAAATCTGGGATAATTTTTTCAATCGAAATACTTTTTTAATGTAGTTTTAGTGCAATTTCATTTTCGATTGATAAATTTGTGGTAAAATATATAACTCTAGATATTTTGCCAGCGTAGCAAGATGAGCTGAAATTACCAGATAAACTGTAATTTGATTTAATATATGTTCTTGTAAAAAATATATGTGTTAGTAACACGACTAAAAAAATGTTAGATTACTTTAAAAATGTTGTAATGGACAGCAACAACAAAATTTTACAGATCGGGAGTAAATTTAAATTGAAACCAGTTTTTCCAATCGAAGACGCTATATCCTTATTGGACTAATAGTTTTAATTATTATTTTGGAACATAGGATTGCTAAGGTTATTATATTTATATTCTAATTTTTTGCTACAGATGTTTCTTCATTATTTTTAAAAAGTCACGTTGCTACTCATCTGTTATTTCAATATATAGATCTATGAAAATTTTTGCAGACAATTTACGAAAGTGTCTGGAACAGTCCATAGGTATATTGCATAGCACATGCTTGCCTTTCGTTTTGTTTGCTTGTAAAATCGCTTCCATCACATATAATTGAACATGTCACTCTCAAATTTGCATTCCTTTTGTGATTTTTACAGTAAATAAAACAAAAGACGGTCTCAATATGTTGTCATGTTATCGATACGATACACAACATTGAATCTTTATTACTCGCCCAGAGTGTGTTGCTATAGGTAACAATTTAAGCCTCTGCCATATATGTCACAACCGCCATGACATGCAATAGCTGCATTGTGTTAAATTTTTATACGACTGCCTTGACTTACCGCAAATGCCACAGCTGTTATGAAAAAATATAAAAAAAGTCTGGATACATTTTTTTATGAGACCCTTTTTAATCAAGCACAAAGAAAATATTTAATATATACAAAAATATTAAAAATATTAAAAATATTTCTCTTTGTTTATTATTTTAATGATATTTTTTAATTAATTATAATGCGAAAAGCAGAGTACAAATTTCTATCGCAACTGCAATAAATGCAGTAATAATTAATTAAATTTTTAATTATTTTCTTGTGTAAATTTAATTTCACCTGCAATGTTTTGTGGTTTGTGTTCCTTTGCAGCGCACTGTTTGAAGGATCTTAAGATATTCGTGCCGGAAGCTGTTATCATGGGAAATGCTGCAACACTATCCTGTCAATATGATTTGGAGCAGGTAAACTAACACAAACTAGTCGCTGTTTGCGTGCTAAAAGTTCCGAAAGGAAAAAATTTGCAACATTTTGGTTTTTGTGGATGCAATGGTGGCGCTTTTTGGTTGTATGCATTACACCGCCAGTCCAATGAGCTGCTACTGTGTGCAACCAAATTGCGTCATGCACGCCATTCACAGCAACGTTCAAAGTCAATTTGCACTACTTTGAAATGTTAAAATTCTTAATTAAAATAATTACAAGGTAATATGTCTCTAATTATTTTGCATTTTTGCAGGCGGCCTTGTACTCGGTACGCTGGTATTTTGGCGCAGAGGAATTCTATCGCTACGTGCCAAAGGAGTCGCCACCCACATTAGTGTTCCATGTCTCCGGCATAAATGTTGATGTAAGTAATTTATTTCATTTGTGTTCCACCAACTAAGGTTAAAGCAATTTTTTGTCCTTCCCATTATTGTGGATGCTAATATTGTTGTTACATTTGCTCCTGATCCTGCTCCTGCCATTGCTCATGTTGCTCATGTTGCTACTATGTGCTACTATATGACGGTATGCAAATAAATCTTTGGACTTACTCTATAGACAAACTCATATGAATAGTTTTTTTTGGTCGCCTGTGCAGTAGCTACGCAGTGGTATGTGCCAAATTTGTCTTGGCAGACGTTTGATGATGGTAAAATTTTCTTGTTGGAATTTCTGTACAAATGTTTGTTCAAATGAAATAAACAGGGAAAAAGGAAACAAATAGATTTTTATTGTAAATAATGAGAGACAAGAAATAAACTTCAGCAGGACAATTTGGCAGCAACTCAACATGATGGCATGCAACATTACGCACCTTCATGCTTCTGTAGAGGGATGTGGAACAACATACCTAAGCATATATATTATGTGAATTTGTGTTTGTTTGTATAAATATATTTGGAATGAGATTAAGATTTTTCGAAGTTAGTGATTTGCATTAAATAAAAGCATAAATACTTCAGGATTGTTAGGGAAAACGGAGTATTGAAAATATAGCAGTTATTTTAGTTTACTTTTGGTTAACAGTATTTTTTTAGTCAGAAGAGAAGTAAGCTAGAAAATTATGCTTAAAAAGCTTTGTGGGTTAATGTGCTGGTATTATATTTTCAGTAATACATAGTACTGCATTCATTTCTAGTCCATGAGATATCTTATTTATTAGCCTAATTGAATTTCTTATCTGCCTAATTGACATAATAATTTCTTAGTAGCAAGCAACTAATTATAAAATGTTTACTTTTTGGAGAGGTTTTGAAGAGTAGTAAACTACAACACAATTTTTTTTTTGTATATTATTTTAATTAATGGATATCCACCATCAATGGTCCTGGAATTATTTTTTATATTTAGTTATTCTAAAATAATTTAAAACTCAGAGTCAGCTTTGATTAGTGAAAAGACTCAAAACCGTACTTGACTTGTATGTTTGCATTTTGGAATGCTACGTTATATTAGAATGAAACCATGAACCAGCTATAGAATAATTGAATTAATTAATTATATTTATTTTTAGTTACAGCATTAAAATGGTTCTATAAAGTCTACAGCAAAAAGTCAAAAACATTAAAGTTTCACCAATGATTTATATTGCCAGGTTTATGAACTCTGAACTGAATAGTTTCTGAGCTAAACTGGCTACTTGTGAATAAACACGATTAGTCATCGCTTCTAATTTGACAGGCATAAGTTCTAAGCCTGGCATTTGCACTGAGTGGCTAAGCCTGTACCACTGATAATGAGTTCATGACAATACTCGGAAAAGCGTTGTATGGTCAGCCAAATTTCAATAAAGTAACTAAATTATTGTTTGCCCTTTCTTACTGTGCTATTCAAAAAACCTCAAAAATTAAAATAAATATGGATGATATGTAAGTAGGCATTCAGTTTCCGCACATCGACATTCAGATTTTTAGTGATACGAATTATAGGGTTAGTCCCATTGAGGATTGCGTGTCCACCCTTTCTGCTAGTTTGTTAATGGACAATATGTAATTGTAATGATTACATTACTTTAAACCTATCAAAAGGTCATTTTGTTTGGTGAGCAAAACATATCTGTGTCACTTGTTAATCTAAGAATTATGGCGGATTGGCATATCCTTTAGCATATGGGATTATATCTATTTCTATTTTATCAACATAAATATACAATTGATTTTTATTCATTTGTAAATATCTATAAGCACAAGTATTTATAAGTATCTTATATAAATATACAGATACTTAGATATAGACATACAGATACATATATTGTACATTATAACTATGCTGAAACTGTGTTGAAGAAATGAAGCTACTAAAAAATTATATATGTGAACCTTACAAGACTAATATCTACTAAAACAAGAAGTCGTTTAATATGTTTTTTTTTGTAGAGAGAGTATTTGTTAATCACACACAGAGCTGAAAACCTTCTTCGTAGAAGAGGTTGATGGTATTTTTAAAGTTTTACTTTTTAAAAATATTTAAAGTATATGAGTATGTCGATATTGAATATAACCTCTTAGACTCTTCTACGTAATTCCATTTAGTTTTCATTAGCAATGAGTTACTCACCGTTTTAGAAATATGTCTAACATTTAAATATTTTTTTTTTACTTAAGTTCAAAAATTTTTGTAACATTTAAATGTTTTTGTTTTTCTTGCTTAGTGTCTGATTAAATCTTTCCAAGAGAGAAGTGAAGAAGCAAAATTTTAGTATACAAGATGTACAAATCCAAGATACATACAAGATGAAATGCATCTACAGAAATATTTCATACATTACTCAATTACTCAAGATATAGCAACTCTTTTCGGCAAATGGCCTATTAACACCAGTGGGTGTTCATGATTTGACAAATACTTTTTTTTTGTAAAAAGCATAAATAAAAAGAAGTTATAAAAAGTTTGTGTTGAAATATGTAATTTAAAACAATTCCGCAGTATCTGGGTAAGAACAAAGTACAGCTATACGCATCTAAATTCAGTACAAAACTTTCTGAGATGCCTCTTCCGTATATTGTTAAGCTATCACTATCACGTCAATATATATATTCTCACCTCTTCACTAAAAATTATGGAATCTTACTAGAATAGCTTAATGAGCACTTTCATTTTTGACCTAAATTAAAATAAATAGGAAAAGTTATAGTTTCGAAAGAGAAAAATTAATGAGTCCTTCATGGAAGATTTATTTAAATTAAAGTTGTTTTTGAATGAAGTATCAATTATTGATTAATGGCCTTCAAATATGTAAAGTTCAGGCTTCCGTAATACCTTCAATTAATTATTTTTAAAAACCAAAAAATTAAAAATGTGAAGTACATTACACAGCATTAAGAATAATTAATATGAAGCCTGGGCAACTCAATCAACTTTTCAAAAAATAAAATATAAAATGCAATCAACGAGAATTAAAAAGTTATGCTTTTCTCATTTGGAATTATTAAAAATAATTGTAAAAGTTTTTCAATCATTTTTTCATCGGGAATATCTCGCGCATTATTTCACCTATCCGCGCCTACGATTCACCTCACTTCAGCTGCCAATACCCTAATTAGCTAATATTGTTTTAATAATGAATTCCATCCATGCTCCGGCAAAGGATGTCCCTACTCCTACATGGAACCCTTTCCACGGCAACACAATAAATTAAATTTAATGGAATTTTGTTGTAATTAAACATTTCTGGCAAGCAGCATTTTTACTTAACAAACACGTCAGCAAACATGCCCCAGCCAAGAAGAATTCCATTTTCACTGCACAAAAATTTTTAAATGAAAAATGTATTGGGTTTTCCTTTTGTGAGTTTTTATTAACAAGCCTTGTAAATCATTATTAAAAGTGGGAATGAGAACTCGGAAAATTGTGTAGAAAAATGCGAATAGAAGCGCTTTTAATAAATACAAGTTATTTATTTTAGTTGAGAGTAGCCAGAGACAGTGAATAAATTGAAACATAAATTTCAACTCGAAAAATGTTGAAATTTCCTTTGCCAATGTCGATAAAACAGAATTTCGCACTCTTCCACCAAAAAGAGTTGTGAAAATATAACTAATTAGGAAATATTCGAATAATCTAGTAACAAAAGAAGGTCACTTTAATGAATGCATTAATTCATAAAAGTGGAAATGTTCATTAAAATTATTATTTTTCATTTTCCAGATACCTTTAACTACAAATGAAAGAGCAACTCATTTGTAAACTAACAATCCTTTATATGCCAATTATAAATTAGATACTATATGTCGCAATATACCTATAGCTTGAAAGATAATTTCAAGGTATTCAGTCATAATTATACATAATATATTTAAGATCACAAATATAAATGTATCGTATATAAGAGGTCCATTTCTTTCTTAAAGTAAAATCGTATTAAGATATAGTGCTGTAGAAAGTTAGAAACGAGGTTAAAATTTATTTATGTACTCTACAACACAACTCTTTAAAACTCTATAATTTAAAACATTGCATTAATTGCAAATTAATTTAAAAATATTGATATAACCACATATGTAATTGTTAAATTGACACTAAACTGGTCTCAACCGATTCCATATTTAGTATCAAATGTGGCTCTGAAGTGAACCACAAACGAATCGTATGCGTCACAAATGTAAATCTGCGAAATAATCTTTCATTTATAAAAGAGACTATTTAGATTTATTTAAGACAACTACTTGAACACTCGATTTGTGACTTTTCCGTACCGCTCAATAAAACGGTGACCAGATATCACATGGTTACTATAGAGATGACTGTACTAATAAAATGTGAAGTGACCTATATTCCATAAGTACAGACTTATAAAATGTAATAGGACCTATATTACATGAGTACAGTCACTAGATTTGATACAGTTTGACTGTTCAACATAATAGTGTTAAGCAGATCGAACTTAACATTAACAGATTCACTATTATTCGTGAAAGTATGCTTGGTATGACAGTATCCAGAAGTTACAAGTTGCTTTAGTCAGACTTTCCGAAGTCTGTTCAAAGTGCCATAGTACATCCGCACGAATGCTGTGCTAAAATACCTTTAATGAGATCTGTTCAAAAAATACATAAGAGAAGTTATGCGTACCCGGAAGCTATATGCGAAAACCGACAGACTGCTCTACATAGCACTATCTAATCTCAGAGCAGTCACTAGCCATACAGATCTTAGATCAGTAATAATCAATAATAATCAGCTTGTGAGGAATGCATAAATTAATAAAAGAGAAGGAAGGGACTCTGTAGAAACCCCCCAGCTAACAATGAGTAAAAGTGCCCAGTTGCACTAACTCGGAAAAAACTCAACATAAGAATCAGATAATACTCTCATTAAGTTTACGATGCTTTCCAAAAGCACTATAGAAATGCAATCGCATAAGTC